CCACTGTGGGTGGTGTCGCCCTGGGCAGGTGGTCCTGGGTGGGATATGAAAGTGGGCTGAACAAGCCAGGGAGAGTAATCAGTCAGTAACCAGTGCTCCTTCTGCTTCAGTTCCTGACTCCACTGGCTTCCCTCAGTGAAAGGCTGTCCTGCCCCGGCTTCCCTCAGTGATGGGCTGTTACCTCTAAGTATAAGATGAAATAAACCCATTCCTCCTCGTTTCTTCTGAACCTAACATATTAAGTTAAAAAATTAAAACTTGTGAAAATTTTTACATAAGTTTTTTAGTATTTATAAATTGGTCTTTACAATTGCTAGACTAAAAACATCCCTAAAAGGGTTCACAGATGTTCATGACTCACTAGATGCAGGGAAACTGCCCTAAGCTGTCTTTTAAAAGGCTAAAAGTGGTATTCAAAATTCCATCTTTAATTATGTACAATGTGTGCTCCTCCCGACATTGGTCTTCCTTAACTTTTTCTTTTCAATTATTTTACTTCATTTGGTGTTTTATTTTTGTTGTTATTTTGAGACATGGTGTCACTGTCTCTATAACAACCAAGACTCAATAGAAAACAGAAGGCTTTTCAAGTCCTAAGAAAACTCTAGGCCTGGCTCCTCGAGACATCAGCAACCTTCCACCTATATGTGGATGAGGCTGGGGAAGTGCAAAGGGAGTCCTCTCAATCTCAGTGGCCCCTTGTATTCAGGTCATGGTCGAAACTGCTCTTCTGGGGAAGACGGCTGATAAACTGACTCTGGGGCAGGAACTGTTCCTTGCTTTCCACATTCAGTTGAGGCCCTGCGATGATGTGAATGAAAATGGTCTCATAGGCCACTATTAGGAGGTGTGGCCTTGTTGGAGGAAGTGTCACTGGGGGGTGGGTTTTGAGGTTTCCGATGCTCAAGAAGCCCACAGTGTCACTCTCTCTTCCTGCTGTCTGAGGTTCTAGATATAGAACTCTGAGCCACTTCTCCAGCAGTATGTCTGCCTGCACGCTGCCATGTTTCCCTCCATGATGATGACAGATTAAATCTCTGAACTGTAAGCCAGAACTAATTAAATGTTGTTCTTTATGAGTTGCTGTGGTCATGGTGTCTCTTCACTGGATTAAAAACCCTTAAACGGGCCTTCCTTTGGGGCACTTTGGAAAGATGGATGTCAGATACCCAGGTGCTCCTGAACTAGCCCCCATATCTGGTTCTGCATAACATCAGCCCTCAGTGCTGCAACTCTGTTACCAGATGATGACCCTGTGTTCTGCACAATTGCCTAGAAGTAGTGCAGCTGATTCAACCTGTCAGGCCTGGCCTGACCAATACTCCACTGCAGGAGACAGACAAGGTTAGGTATACTGATGGGAGCAGTTTCATCCAGAATGAAATGAGGTACGCTGGGGCTGTGGTGATAACCCAGGAGAAGACTATGTGACGTTCAATCACTTAATTGAGGAACACACAGCTGATGTGGGAGTGTCATATCAATCTGTTGATTTCATTGGCTGAGCAATAAAAGAAACTGCTTGGCTGGCCCTGATAGGTTAGAACATAGGTGGGAGGAATAAACAGAATAGGATGCTGGGCGGAAGAGGAAGTGAGGTCAGACTCTGCGCTGCTTCCAGAGGGACCGGACAGCCGCCATGCTCTGCTCTCCCAGGCAGCTGCAACCCACGATGGACTTAGGCTAGAATCTTCCCGGTAAGCGCACCTTTGGGTGCTTACACGCATTATTAGAAATGGGCTAGTCCAGGTGCGAGAATTAGCCTGTAAGGGCTAGAGTTCATGGGCCAAGCAGTTCTTTAAATGAATACAGTTTGTGTGTTGTTATTTCGGGCATGAGCTAGCCAAGCGGCCGGGGTGTTGGGGACGCAGCCTCGCCGCCGCTCTTATTTCAACACACAGCTAACAAGCTGAGTCCTGGCATTAATTCAGGGGCTCCGCTAGAGAAAACCAAGGTCATCACCATATGTGCTGATAGTTAGTATGCCTTTTGCAATGCCCACATACAAAGGGCCCTGTACTGAGAAAGAGGGCTCCTCACCCCAGCCAATAAGGAGACCAAAAATGAAGAGGAGATTCTGTTGGAAGTCCTCTGACTACCACCCAAAATGGCCAATGGACACCAAAAGGGAAACTCACCCAAAACATGGGGTAGTACGGTAGTGGAGCTGGCAGCCCAGGGGAAAGCCTTAGAGCCGTTCCAGATTTGGTGACATTGCCTGAACCTAACCTGCTTCAGTGCTCAGACTACACATGGGAGGAGACTACTGAACCAAGTGAGAGAGTACCAAACAAGACAAAAAGGTTTGGTGGATGTTGCCAGACAAAAGACCTGTACTCCAATAGTTATTGGAAGACAGCTGGCAAGGGAGCGCCACCAAGCCACTCACCTAAGGGCCACCCAAACTACTGAGCTCCTTAGGTCCAGGTACCACATCTCTCAGCTGAGTCTTGCCAAGGACATTACTTCCGGGTGTGTCATCTGTGCACAGGTAAACCCCAAAGGAGCGGGAAATGTTCTGGGTGGGGTCCAGGCCCAGGAACACCACCGGAGAGGACCAGGTACTGGATTTAACTGAAACCCCCTGGTGTTTGAAGACACCTTCTAGGAATGAGAAGAATCCTTCCCCAACAAGACAGGGATAGTCCCTAGGTTTGGATTGCCCATATCCCTGGGGTCTGATCATGGCCTGGCCTTCATAGCCAAAATATTCCCAAATCTGGGAAAGGCATTAAACATTAATTAGATTGGCAGGAAAACTCAGGACAGGTAAAAAGGTTAAAAATAAAAAACTTGGGCTGGAGAGATGGCTCAGAGGTTAAGAGCACTGGTAGCTCTTCTAGAGGTCCTGAGTTCAATTTCCAGCAACCACATGGTAGCTCACAACCATCCATAATGAGATCTGTTGCTCTCTTCTGGCATGCAGACATACATACCATAAACATAATAGATGAATCTTAAAAAATAACAATAAAAACAAAACACCCTTTAAAATATGGCCTTGATACTGGCAAAAATTGGGCCAGTCCTACCTTTTGCTCTCCTAAGGGCCAGATGCATCTTGCATCAAGTTCATGAGACAGAAATTACTAACCATCCTCTCCCCAAGTTCTTACAGGCCCTGCAATAGACCCAGAGGGCTATTCGTCAGACAGACTCTGTGCCCTTCCTCATGCCTGAGCTGGCCCACAAGTTCCAGCCTGGTGACTTCATACAGGTAAAGAGGATCTGGATTGGAACAGCAATGAAGGCCACCCCACAAATCCACCACATCCAGCAGGAGGAGGCTTCAGAAGGTAACAACAGATGTGTCATCACCAGGTCCTCTGAACAGTTGTCCTAGTGTCTTTTGCTGTCCCTGTGGGAAAGGCCCCAAACCTTCATATGACAGGGTCTTGAGTATAAAAATTTAAGAAGACCAGAACCAGGGAGCGCTTAGTCAATCTATCCATGAGACCCAACCTATCTGACAGGTAGATTTCTGTACAATATTACATCCAGACGCTACCGGGAAATGGCTCTCTGGCTGCTGGGAGGAGCATGCCCCTGGGGCTGTGAGTACACCAGTCAAGAGAGGGCTCTGATCTATTCAGTACTATACCTGCCTGGATGACACCCACAGGCCACTGTGCTTAGTATCACTGCAAAACTGAGTGCTGGGGTTACACTGATCCCTGCACAGTCTTAAAAATGAAACCATCGCCACCTACCTGTGATATATTTATAAAGATTATGGCCTGGCAAAAGCCAAAAGATACTACTGGCAAACTGGTAAAACTTAGAAAGTCAGGTTATGAGGCCCCTAAGGTGGCAAGCCCCCAAACTCCAGTTTCCCCAGGAATTTCTTTGGTAATCTCAAAGATAAAGGTCCAGGAGGCAGTAAAAGCCAGTTCCCCAGTGTTTGGGATGCGAGAAGAGTCTATCAGTTTCTTAACCATTCTCAAACTGACACAGGTCAGTACTCCAAGATCCCAAGTCCCATATTAGGTTGGAATAAAACTAATCAAACAATAAACTCTACTTCCAACTCTAATAGCTGTAAATGGGACCAACCTAAACTCACCCAGGGGGAACTTCGGGGGGAGGGTGCCTATTTAATGACACCATGCTACTCCCTAGCTAATTCTCCCTCCGCAGGTTCCTCTAGACCTACACAGAAGGTTAACTGCAGGAATGGCAGTCGAATGTATTTCCAGGCCCAGAGACTACCTGGCTTGCTTGCACTAATGGCTTAACCAAGTACATTTTTTCTGAATTGCTTACACTGGAGACCCCACTTTCTTTGCGTGCTCGTGCATGTTATACCACAGGAGTTCATCAATAATGAAGAAGAGAGCAGGGTCCACCTAAATCTACATTCTGGGCTTCCCCATGCACAAGGATGAGCTCATTCTCCTGCTGGTAGAGGCAGATGCCATGGGCTCCACTACGGTTTATCAAAATAAATTTAAAAACCGACAACGAAGCAAGGCATGGATGACACAGGGCCGGATCATCATGGACAGAGTCTCCTGGGCCCGAAGCAAAACTACCTCCAGATTCAATAACTGTTTTATCCCTGACAAAGGGAGAGCTCCTGTCACCTTCCGTTATACCCGTGCGGGCCTGAAAGTCGGGTACCACTCATTCATACCGGCCTGTGCCGCTAGGCTTTGTGATCACGTGGTGACTTCGGGGCTACCAAATCCTGCCTCACTCTCAGGATGAGTCCCCTAGTCTGCGTAAGAACTTTCTTCTCCAGTCTGAGGAAGCCAAGGAAATACTGGAAACCCCAGCTTCAAGAACCCGGTAAAGCCACATCCGCATGAAAAGGCAGAACTCACGTTATTCTTGTCGTCTATTGGTCACACATCCAGGAAGCTGGGTGGCAGCGACTTCCGTTAACCCGACCTAGGGGGCGGTGTTGTACGGCGCTCCGCCCCCCTCGGCTGAATCACGCATGCGCAGGCTTCCTGTTCTCGTCCAATCGGAAGGTAGCGAGCGAAGCCGCGTTGCTCCTGCTTCTTCGGCGCCCGCGGTTGTGGACCGCCTCTCTGCTGTGGACCAATCCGCTTCGGCTTCCTCTATAATTTTCTCCAATCAGAGGAGGAGGGCGGGGATCCGGACGGCCGTGGGCAGAGCGTGGTTTCTCTCCAGCGCCAGTGTGGGGATTGCTTCAGAGGTACCTTCTGCTGGGCCGGGCGGGGTGACTATCATGGGCGACAGCTCTCTCGACCGGCGGCCGCCGCGCGGGATGCGCGTGGAAAGCTCTGGGCGGGGAGCGCGGAGAGGAGCGGGCGGTGCGGGAGCGCGGAGCACGTGCGCGCGAGGGAGGCTGAGTGGGTCTCTTGAGTGTCAGGCTGTGTGGTCGATGACGGATAGGTAGCCCCTGCTCGCTCATGCCTGCCCTTCCTGCACTCACTGCACACCCACTTCTGGCTCTTGCCTCTTTCGCTGTCAGAAAGCAGATTTTCACTTAGGAAGCAAAGCCAAGGAATACACTGTATGCCGTGATGCCAGCTTCTATGCGATGACTTCCGTGTGTCGTGGCATCTGGTTCACACACCTATCTGCAGAGCTTGGTGCTGGCCCGGTGTGATGGTGCACACCTGTGATCCCAGCACTGGCCGGGAGACAGAGGCAAGAGGATGCCTTGAGTTGCCAGGCAGCCAAAGCTTCCTAGGGAAACTTTGTCTCACACGTAGATACACACACACACACACGCACACACACAACTAACTCACAACAAAAAACACTCAAGAAGTACATGCTGTCTGCATGCTCATCTTCATTTGAAAAAAATATATTTTGTGTGAGTGTCAGCTTCTTCAATTGCACGATTAAAATCAGTTATAATAAATTGCTTCTTAGTATTGTGATAATCCAATGAGAAATGGACTTAAAGTATACGTTACTGGTCTCAGATCTGCTTGTTTCTGTTGGTATAACAGCATCAGCACGGCTAGAATTGTACAAACATGCAGCCTGGTAACACTGTGTGAGATACCTCCGTGTGGACCATTTCCCAGCCTGCCGGGTTCAGGATAGTATTTATTGTCCAGAGAACAAAGTGAGCAATGTTTGGTTTGTATTTTTACCTTAGATATTCTATAACATTTAAGGCAAAAGTAAGCCTGCATTACTTGCTGACTTTTCTTTCACTTCCCATCAGTGCAGTTTTGGAGTAGGTTCAGGGGATCGAATGTAGGTCAGATGAGTAATCTCACTGGCCCTGTTTTTGAGACATTCTCACACTGTTCCCTAGGCTGTCCTAAGTTCACTGTTTATCTTAGGCTGGCCTCAAGTCTAATCCTCCTTCCTCATAAGCCACCATGGCTGACTACTGTTCAGCTTTTGGAAGGGCTTCTTGGTTTCATATGGCTGCTTAACAAATTACTACTATACTTAGTGACTTCAGACAGCAGCTGGATGGTAGCACACACCTTGAATCCCAGCACGCTTCTGTGTTCAAGGCCAGCCTGGTCTCCAAGAGCTAGCCCCAGGACAGCCAGGACAGAACTACACAGAGAAACCATGTTGGGGGGGGGAAGCATAAATGTGAAGCTGGAGAGGTGATTCAATGACTGCTTTCTGCACAGGATATGGTGGAACATGACTTTCATCCTAGCGCTCTGGAGGCAGAGGCATGGGTAGAGGCCAGCCTGATCTACTTAGTAAGTTCTAGAACAGCCAAAGCTGCAAAGAGAGACCCTGCCTCAAACAAACAAAAAACCTCCAGAAGATCTGAAGCTGCTTCTGGCCTCTTCAGGCACTAGTACACAGGCATTCACAGACACGTGCACACTGGTAAAAATAAGCAGCACAAACGTATTAGCTTTCAACTTGGCTCTAAAGTATTTTACGAGGCTAATGTCAAGGTATCAGGGACCTGAAGCCTCTTGGACATCTCAGAGGCTTATGTGTTTTTCTAGCCTTTTCCAGCTTCTAGTGACTGTATCTGTTAGCCTACAACTCTTTTTGCCTTTTAAAGACATTCCACCCTATAGCCCTGGCTGGCCTTGAATGCATGGTAACCTTCCTGCATTAGGCTTCCAGGTGCAGGGGTTTCACGTATGGACCATCCTGCTAGACTCAGTGTGTAGCTCCTGACAGTCTTCTTTGGTTGGCTGCTCCCATCATCATCTACCTCTGTAACTGAGTCTCCACCCCTCCCTCTTCTGAGGAAACTTGCGGCATGTAGGGCTTTCCCAGATAGTCAGAAATTATTCTCTCTGTCTCAGGATGCTGTGCGAAGGTATGTTAAACCTTCTTGTCATAATGAGGAGTGCTAATGGGTTCTAGGAGGTGGGTCCGACTTAAGTATCTTTGGGAGCCATTTTTCAGCCCTCCACAAAGGCTCTGATGCACAAATAACCCTGTGCCAGAACTGAATGTGCAGTAGGGATTTTAAGAGAGAAAGGATAGGCTTCCAGAGAGCTGTGAGAGAGCTGGGCAGCTCTTGAACACAGAGGTAACTGGATAGTCCTCTGCTGTAAAACTAGAATCGATTATGTAGAGAATTACCACTGGATTCTAACCTACCTTAAGAATTCATGTGACTTGCAGTCAGTTCATTGATTCTGATTGATGCCATTTTGAGTTATTTATTTATGAGATCACAACATTACCGTTCTTGGGAAAGGTTATGATTTATCCCGGGCTTCTTTCCCAGTTTACTTCAGTCAGATAACTTCAGGTTTGTATATATCCCCCACTTTAAGTATCATGATCTTAGGTGATGGGAATCAGCTCTTCTGACAACCCAGTCTTTTGGGAGTGGTAGTGCCTGGCACAGGGAAGGCAGGTTCTTGAGGGTAGGAGGGAAGCCGGAAGCGCCAGCGTTCAAGGCCTAGTCTCAGCTGCACAGCGCGTTAGAGGGCAGCCTGAGCACATGAGACCCCATGCCACAACAGTTAACAACAAAACCCAGCTACTTCAAACCTCTGGGTCCTGTTGCTCCTAACGATTTGCAGAAGGCTTTATGGAGAACTGGACCGACGGGGTCCCCTCTGGTCTCAACAAAAAAACACAGCAACTCTGTTGACTTCAGAGTTATCCCGTCTTCACACAAAGACATCTCTTGCTAGAATTCAGTTTTTGAGAGACATGTTTACATGTGTAGTTACAAGTATAGATACACTGGAGTAAATGTATGAAAACCCAGCTCCAGATAGGCATTCACTATATAAAAACTTAATAAAGATTTGTGTTTGGGGCTGGGCAGTGGTGGCGCACGCTTTTAACCCCAGCACTTGGGGGGCAGAGGCAGGTGGATCCCTGTGAGTTCAGGGCCAGCCTGGTCTGCAAGAGCTAGTTCCAGGACAGCTAGAACTGTTACACAGGGAAACCCTGTCTTGAAAAACAAAACAACAAAAAAAGAGTTGTGTTTGGTTTGGTAGGAGGGGAAAGGACCAGGAGGAGCATGCATGAGAGAAGTTTCTCGTGGATCAGACCTAGAAGTGGCCCGTGTTATTTTCTTTCGTACTTCATTGGCTAGAAGTCTTTGGCATGGTTACATAATAACTAACCTGATTGGAGGCCTAGCTATTGATCTGTTGTGCCAGCAGTTGGCTAAGGCAGCAGCTCATTTAGCCACCTACTTATAACTTGCCCTCAAGGAGTCCTTAGTTTCTTAATCCTTTAAATTCTCCATTGTGCTGGGCACTGTGGGGTTCACCTTTAATCCCAGCATAACAGGCGCTCTGTGAGCTCAAGGCCAACCTGATCTAGGCTAGCTAGGACTACATAAGGAAGCTCTGTGTCAAAACCAAAACCAAATGAATAGTCTCAATTGTTGTTTAGATGTCTATTGTTCAAGAGTCCCTCTGAGGCTGATGCTAGTGATCCATGCTGGTGTTGGGTCCACAGCAAAAAGCTGCTCCCCTTTCCTCCGAGGAAGTCTGGGCTTACAGTCAGAAACTGCCATTACAGTTTTCTGTGTCCTGGCTGAGCAGTGAATGAAATGAGGACGTGACCACTCCGAGGCAGTAGACTATACATGACTAGTAGACTGAACCAGACCTGGGGGGAGGGAAGATAGGGATGCCAGAGAGGAAGAGAATGGAGGGCCAAGAAGGCAAAGGGGAGAGAGAAAGCATGACCAAAATGTCAGGGTTACATAGGAATGGGGGGAAGGGAAGCAAAGTTGGGGTTTAGTATAGGGGACGGCGGGGGGGGGGGGGGGGGGGGGGGGGGGGGGGGAAGCTGAGAGGAGACTGGAACTTGCTATGTTGAGGCCAACAAGTGCTTTGGTATGCTAATAGGCCCCACCTTTAGCCCCCCCCCCCTCTCGTTTTTTGTTCAAGACTGGGTTTCTCTGTGTAGCCCTGGCTGTCCTGGAACTCATTCTGTAGACCAGGCTGGCCTCAAACTCACAGAGATCCGCCAGCCTCTGCCTCCCAAGTGCTGGGATAAAACTACTCCACCACTGCCTGGCGAACCTAAGGCTTTGTACATGCTAGTCGCATACAAACAGCTACACCCTCAAGCTCCTATTTTCTCTCTCCTTGAAACATTGCCTTACTTTGTAGCCCAGGCTAGCCTTGAACTCAATATCCTTCTGCTTCGGCCTCTGGAGTGTTGGAATCAGTCCCTGAAGTAAAGGGAGGGGGAAGTAGTGAGACGATGGGGTAGGAAGGCTTTCTGAAGCAGGTCCGAGCAGGTCCTTGTTGATCCAGGAGCCCTTTCCTTTTTCCCTCTCTGGCATCAACTCACTGCAATCATACTTGGTCTAGGGACAGTTACAAACCTTGTATTCCTTCAAGTTACACATCACAGCGGTTCCCATGCCTCCTGTTAAACGATGTACAGGATTAAAGAATAAAAGAAGGCTACTGCATTTTCCAGATGTTTTCTGAAAGCCACTGGGTGTTCATCTTTCTCTAAGTTTGAAAAAGTTATTTAATAGTTAACATTTCAATAATTTTTGCAGGCTTTTAAGATTTAAAATGTTGGGCAAAGGAAAGGAGGGAAAAGACACTTGTCTTCAAGGACTATTAAATTTAAATGGGCGGGGCGGTGGTGGCGCACGCCTTTAATCCCTGCACTTGGGAGGCAGAGGCAGGCCTGGTCTACAAGAGCTAGTTCCAGGACAGGCTCCAAAACCACAGAGAAACCCTGTCTCGAAAAACAAAACAAAATAAAACAATAACAACAAAAAAATTTAAGTGGGTGTATGTTGAA